GCAGAATTGTCCTGTAGCTAAACTATTTTTTGAGGTTTTCCAGCTGACCAGCTGGCACAGCCCAGGTCCCAAAGGAAGACAGCCTCGAGATCCTGATGTTTCAAACCTGACGGCACAACTTCCATTTTTTGATGGGCCAGGAGTGCTTCCCACAGCTTTAAACCTTAAAGAACAAATGGAAAACTGTCAAATTAACAGGAAGGGTTTCTATGCTCTAATTATAGCCCACAAAACCCCTTTTCTGTGTGCAAGGTTGGGTCACGCTGTTGTTACAATGCTTTTGTAACTCTACTAATACCTTTAATATAAGCACCTATTAATTGCATGTTGAACTTAATTCCTAAGCTCAGTGCTACTGGATTGCCCTAGCCAGGCAGCTGACTGTAATTACAGCATGCTTATAGTCTGCTTAACCTGCATTTATAAAGCACATTAATTCCCATGATTCGGTTTTAATTTAGTGCAAGATTGACAAATGTTGATTTTTCTCCACAGAAAAGACCTAACATGAGCAGCAGTAAGGTAAACACACCACGTTAGCCAGATAATCTGACTCAATATTGCTTTGGAAGGATGATGCAGTGCTTCATTCTCTATTGGGTAACTATACCATCACTTCCAGCTTCCCCAAAATTTTTCTGAAAATTGCCCTTTTTTTGATTATAGATACCGGTTCATTAAGGATCTTAATCTCCAAATGAGCTATCCTGCTAGAGGCACCAACAAGAGTCCAAGAAAAACATGAGCAAAACAGAGAGCACTACCTTAACCATGAAGCTCTACAATCCTAGCCCAGCACACAGTATTTCAGCAACTCCAGAAACTTATGAAGGGAGAAATATTTCCTCGACTGTTTCAGAAGATCTTTGGACTGAATCTGCTACACCTACAGAGGACCAGAGGTCAAGTGCAAACGTCATCTTTGATATTTGTTTTCCAAACCTATAATGAAAAAACTCCAGAGAAGTACCAATTAAATCCCATGTGTTGCATAAATCTGGAGAGGAGCCAATATCTCCTTTAATCAATTGGCTGTCAGCCCATTAAGTTACCATTTTTGAATGACCTATGAGCACTGAGGCATACAAGTCTTCCTGGTGCTACTGCACGAGCTATAATGGGATCAGGGTGCATACTACTTACATGCTATAGAGACAGGCTGAGGCTGGGCCACACAGATGGAAGATTGTTGAAGGTTTGAGAGAGCAGCTGGGATTTGGCTGTGGCCAACACCATCTCCACAGCCTTGGCACACACCGATCAACACAGCTCCTGCCCACAAAGTTCTCCCAACTAACAAGTCCTCTTTGCAGCCCATTTTATTTTCTTTGTTTCTTCGTCCCTTCCTCTTTGCAATAGGAGGCAAGGTCCTAGGTATGGGGGAACTAGAAAAATCAGGGATCTGGATATCATGAAGGAGAAAATCATGCACTGTTTGGTTATAGAAAGACAAAAGGGAGGTATCAAATGTGGAAAAGGCTGCTGAAAGAGGAAAGGGAATCGTCTTATGTCTAAGGAGTACAGGACATACAGCAATGGACTTAAATTAATTAGCTTAAATTAAACATCAGGGAAAATCTTGATAGATAAGAACAGTGTGACCCTAGAATTAATTGACATGGGGGGTTCTAGTCTTTCCATAAGCAAACATCTGCCAGACAGTACAGAAGAGCCTGTTTTGGGGCATGCAGACAAGCCTAATGATTTCCCAGGATTTATTCCAACTCTCTTTTCCAAGAGCTTTTTGACTTTTATATTACCTTTTTCTTGTATAAGTCTGAATAATCTATTATTAGCCTTTCCTTGAGCATAAAGGTTTTAAATAGTAATACACACACATGAAATCAAATGCCAATATATTCAATCTTTTGCTCTCTCATTTGTATTTCCTCTGTCGAAGTACATGTAAATAACACTCTACCAGGCAACTACACTGAGAAATATTTTCAATCAAAATGCTGTTTCAAACAAAATGGATTTATGAACAAAATGGTAACTTTAATAAAGTCTGTTTTAAAAAAATCATTTAAAAAGACAGTTTGCAATAAAAACGACTTCTTCTTTGACTTACCTTTTCACAGGATAAAGTAACTTCCTAACTGGAAGTAATGATTACAATGTTCCTCCCTCTTTCTTCCCTTAGACTCTCCATCAACAGGTTGCTTTAATTTCTTTACTTTTCAAAGCACATATTTTTCACAAAACAATCAATATAAATATAGCCTGAAAATACTATATTACTAAGCCCTTGCCCGTGCATGCACATGTGTGTTTACTTGTGTAAACAAACACATTCAGAGCAACATCTCATCTTTATAGATTCAAAAACCTGTTTATTCTCAGTTTAACCCAAACCAAAAAGAGAAGCCCTCTGTCCACAAATGCAGCTCTGCCTTCATCCCAACAGGCAGGCTCCAGGCCCCTCTCTATATGTGATTATTGCTGTACAAATCTTTGCCTTTCTCTCCAGGCCATTCTCTTTACGCAGGATGACTCATTAGCCTTCATCCCCGGCAGGGAGCTGACATCCAATTAACTAGCTGACACTCGCCTGTGACTCACGCTAGTCCTCTAAGGCTCTGTTTACAAACACAGGCTGTTGCGCCCATAAGGGAAGGTAAGTTAGAAGTCCCCCTGCCAGGCCAGTTTGTTCAAAATCTTAAGAGCCCTTTAAGCGACACCTTTGTATGTTAAAGATCAGACATATTGCTTGCAGCAGGATGCAAACCATCCTGATGGCTGCATCTGCCTTAGGCGGGAAAGGGAGCAGCAACGGGTATGGAAACAGGAGCCGCTGCGTGGCATGGTGGCTGCCAAGATGTGGGCTTCAGCTGGGAAGCCAAAGGAAATCAGCGGGCAGGGAAACTTGGTGAATATGGTCCGGGGATGTACCTGAAGGGTTTGTCCATAGTGACCCAGGCTCTCTTTTTAATAATAAAACTTCCAAACTTGGCAGCTTGGGCATCTCTCTGGCAGCAAGTCTGAAAGTGGGCCTCAATTTCAAACACTCTTGAGCATTTAAAGGATTTTGGATGGAACTCTAAATCTTCAGCTCAAAATCCGTTTCTGAGTTAGGTGTGAAGGCACTGACACTTTCCAACCTGAGCTCGATTCTTTAGAATTTCCACGAAGATAGTCAGGTCTTTTGAAATAACCTGCACTTGTCACAAACCGTAGCAGCGTCGTCTTCATAGTGAATTAAGCGGACACTCTCCTGGAAGGTCTCCACTGTCCCATGCTACTTTTCTGGTTAAGGAACGGATTGGGGATGGATTCTGAGGTATACAGGGAAATCACCAAAACCTGATTCTTATTTCCTCCAAGACCACTCTGCCCCATGCAGATGCTCTGAAGAAGTGTTATGTCAGGCTTATGCACTATTTCATTCAGGTCCCTGCCCCACTTACAGTGGTATAAATGAGAATATATTAAAAATTTAAGCCTGACCATTTCATAACAGTTCCTTGCCAAATATATACATCATAACAGAGGTGATGACTTACTGATCTCAATAATAAGCAACTACTGCTATTGAAAATATTGAAACTGCTGCCTTCAATGCTCAGCATGTGTAATGAGCCAAACTAGAAGAGTAAATTTTTCTTAAATTCACTACAGTCCGGACAGCAACAGCCCTACTCTTCCAAGACCACAAGAAAAAAAGTCACCAACCACACTGTGTTTTTAATCCTATGTCATAGGCTAACTCATGTACAAAAGGCCAACAGATGGACAGAAAAAGACCCCCTCCTCCTGTCGTGGCTAGTATCAGTTCCCATTGAATACTCTCCTGTGTCCAGGCTTTGCACGCTGACCACTCAGTGCAGAGGAAACTGCAAAGCACCTTGATGAACTTCCTAACAAGTCCTGCGCATCTGTGTTCCTCTCCCGCTCATTCTCACTCTACATTCCCCTTTAATTAATTCCATACTAAGCACTGAAAAGCTGCAGGGTCCTCTCAGACATCCCTTGTCCCTTTCTCTCCAGGCCCTCCGGTTCCTCCATGGAAAGCCCGCTGGCAAAAAGCTGACATCTGTGCGGCAGCTCGCGGGCTGCAATTTCAGGTATAGCATGTGTGGCACCTTGAACTACCGTCTCATTTCAGACCCCACCGTTGAGACCAATTAAGCACAGAGCATGCAAGAAGCCGACCGAGCGTCACGTGCCGCCTATAACCACAAAGACTTAGAGGCCACAAATCTGTTCTTACCAAGCTGTTCCTGACAGCAGCATGCTGCCTCCTAACAAAAAGAATAGATTAGGATCAATCAAATCTCCCTCTGGCTTGTCAGTGGGACTTTGGACCACACCTTCCACCCAAAACTTTCTTCTCCTCCATCCGATCACCTAGCCAGCTCCAAGCTAACAAGGTGGCTGCTGAGTCCAGTACGGGCTGAACCATATGTTCATAATTAGTTAACATCCTGCTTTGTCGCTAGAGGCACCATCAATAAATTCGCGACAGGCCGCAGTGGCCTTAGGAGATGCAGTGAGGTGCCCCCAGCCAGCACCGAGCCCTCCCCTCCGCTCGGGCGGCTGCCCGTATTGCATTCCAGCTGCGGCATTGTGAGGTGAATTAACCTTATCCTCAATTTAAAAAGCCAGCATGAAATCAAGAGACTTGAGCAAAAGAATAAAAAGAAAGAAGGAGAGAAGAGGAAGGGGTGGGAGGAGAGGGAAAAATCCTAGCAGGTTAACTCTAAGAAAGTCTGGTGAGTGATAGTTTATGGGGATGGCCCCACTTAAGCCGTTGCTGCAAGGCTGGCTGGTGGCAGCACATTCACTTCCACGGCCCTTCTGCTGCTTATTTCCCAGTGTTGTGGTCAAAGGTTTCTAGTTACACACAGAAGGGGAGACCCACTGATATAATTGTTTTTAAGCCAAACGTATTGTTAAGCAATACTTTAGGTAGTAGGCGAAGAGGAACCAGAGCCAACAGTGCTGGGCTGGAAACGCCACCGAGCTGAGGGTGCAGCACGGAGCCCTGTCCTGTTTCCTACCTGAGCAAGCAGGGGCACGTCCTGCAGACCACACGATTGCCAGCAATCCACACGGCCATCACCTGTGCCCACCGCTTCAGGCTCAGCCTCTAGTCCTTCCTCTGCCATCATCTCCTCCACCTGAACTCGGCTCATTCCCGAGCTTGTGGCAAACACAGCAGTGCTGTTCAGACGGGTTGATTGTTGGGAGCCTGGACATAAGTAAAAAAAAACAGACATCTAAAAAATACAAGATAAAGAGACAATGATTTTGCCAGAATGCCTTAATTGTTTCACATTAAATATTAAAAAAAAAAAATCTTGTCAGTCAGACTCCTTTTCAATGAGATACAATCTATATCATGGCTGCTAACCTTTTCAGGAATAGAAGAAATATATACACATATACATAGATAGAAATATATATTAAACTTTTTTAGCACAGACAAACTCTCAAGAAAAAATAAGGCCTTTTTTTTCATTTTGAAACAAACAAACAAAATCAAACAAACAAAAAACAAGCTTTTACCCAAGGGTTTATTTACCCAAGGATAAATAAACAAATCAAGTGATTTATAATATCAACCAAAAGTAATTAATTCCTTTGAATTTGGAAAATACTGGCAAAAAACATAAGCTGCTTGTGAAAAAGTTATAGACTAAGAGAAATAATCTTGTCAAAATTCAAACTCAGTGAATAGATAGAAGGTAATTGCCTCTGCTCCCAGGCAGTTCTTAAAGAGGCAAAAATAAATTATCCTTTCTGCCAGCTTTTGCAATTGGGAGCATCAGAATTTTCAGATGGAGGGTGAGCAGAGCCTTCTGCTTCTATATTACTCAGCACCCCCTTCAAAACTTAGACACAATTGTAAGAGCTTCCTGATTAACTTCCATAAACACCACTGGCGACCTGCAAGCCTGGGACCACAGCGAGGGATGCTAGGAAGCCCTCTAGTGTCCAAACACCTCATGAAGCCAAAATGTTTTCATGGATCCGTTATCCCTCCAAATTCACATCATCAAACAGCTTTTTTTGAGAAAAGGGGGAAAAAAAAGGAGGGAAAAAAAAAAAAAGAAAAAAGCTTGCATGAGGAAGAAGCAAGCAGCATCGTCCTTGGAACTAGACTGTGCCTGGGTCCTCTCGTGCTTCAAGGTTCTTCACAAAAAGACAGACATCATCATCTTGATGGGTGACAGTCATAATGCCAAGCTCTGGGACAACAGCTAATATTAACATCTCAGATGAAGATGGTTCATTTCACACGAACCTGCTGCTTTTCAAAGAATAGGACATTCCCATTGCTAAGGAACAACTCGGTGGATGTTAACCTGAGCCAACATGGGTCCCAACACTCATCTGAGAAGGCTGCGGAGTTTCAGTGCTAGACACAGTCACTGAGCATTCAGTGAGCAGCAAAAATCTCATTTCTGTCTCAATAAAAAGGAACAAGAAAATGAAGATGAAACAGAACCTGCTGGAGCCTCTGGATAACTCTCACAAAACACAACTTAGGTTTGTTTCTTCCAAGCATGGTAGGAGACCAGAACACAGGAATCTGGGGTCAAGAGAAAAAGACTCATTGCTGAAGCCTGTCCCATTGTATTTGATGAACTTTTGGGTTCTCTTCCTACTGTACCACTACAGCTTGCACTGGATTTTCACAAGAGTAAAATCACAGGAAAGCCTGGAGGAATCCTGCTCCCTCATCCAGGGGCAGCTAAAGCCCAAAGATTTCTCATTTTTCTCATTCACTCTGAGGCCTTTTTACATTGCTCTGCCATAGGAAAAGGCTGCCAAACGAATGCGAAATTCTCCCTCCCACCTTCACCTCCAGGATGGTGTAAAGCATAACTGGCCAGAAACTCCTGAGAGCCGTTAAACTCCAGAGCACATCATAGGGAATCTACACTGTCATTAAAGTGTGCAAACTTCTACTCTAAAGTGAAATTTCATCAAAAAAACAAAAAAGCAGAGGAGAAAACATCTCCGATGTGTTTTGACTGGAATCTTCCCGTTTTCTTAAGGCTTTGAGATTTAGAAGATATTTACTCTTTTAATTCATTATATCAAAATCATTGACAAAATCACAATGAAACATTTTGTTCCTTCCTAGAAACAAAAACCAAAGAAAGAGGGGAAAAAAAAAATCTCTCACAAAGAACTAGAAAGCATTCAGGTTTCATTCCAAAGAGCTGGGCATCAGGACCTCAGCATTCCTTGAGAAAAGAGATTATTGTCTCCAGCCAGCTTGGTGTAAGCCTGTAAAATCCTCTGCCAATCTTTTAGATGAATTACCATCCAACTAATTCCTTTTCATCACCCGTTCATCGAACGCTACCTGCATGGACTAGGACATTATTTACATGGACAAGGCTGTTTTACCAGACTGTCTCCCCAGCGCCTTGCTGTTTTAGCTGCCTCTTTCAATGGTGCATTAAAAAGCCCTGACAACTTTCTCAGCTCGTGACAACAACATCCTTCACCTTCTGCCCCTCGACACATTTTCACGTGTCCCGGGATCCTTCTTCCATTATTGATTACGGAAGGCGACGCTGCGCAGCTCTGCAATGAAGAGATGCCCTCACATATATTTACTCAGATGCGAGATCTCTGCCAAAGCTCCCAGCTACCAGCCAAGAATGGAAAGTACCCAGCTCCTACACGCAAGGAGAGATGGAGGAGAGCCAGACTGCCAACCCCGGAGCACGAGCCAAGTAGGAAAAAATATTAAATAGGTGAAACCCAGTACATAGATACTGGCAACACTGGGCCATTAAGATTAGCTCAGAGGCCAGGACACAAAGAGGGGAGATGGAGGCATCAGTGGCCGATGAGACATAAAGCTCCTCTGAACTCTGCCTCTGGTCCTGGGGAAAGTCATCCCACCACGGGCGAAACTCATGAGCCAAGCTCTGCTGGCAGATCTCCCTGCAGAATAGTTTGACTCCAATAGAAAACACCATGGAGAAAAACATGGCTTTTCAGCACACATTCTTTCTTCCATAGACTCGGGAATTTCACACAAACCCTGACGGCCAAGTCTCATAACACAGTCCAGAGAAACAGAAATTATGTTTTATCATGTCTCATTTAGCCACGGGGCTACTTGAGTGCAGCTGTTTACACCACAGACTCACTCTGATGGAAGGGTTTGTTTTTTGCCACAGAACAACAACTCAGTCCAGTGGTAACCCCTGGATAGAGAAACATAAACACGAGAGTAGTAACATGCTGCTGATGCCAGATCAAAAACAGGCTTCAGTTCCAAAACCAAATTAGGGTTTGCATTAAAATTCCCATCCACGATTGTCCAAAACTTGTAAAAGAAATTTTCCGTTCAAAATTAACATTGCACTTGTGGATCCCAGGGGCTACAGCCAAGAGCAGAGGGACCCATTTTGTTAGGGGATACATGAACACATTGGTGCGTTTACAAACGTAATATCTAAGGAGATGCACCACTCCTGTTTGACAGATAAGGCACTGAAATGCAAAGATGCAGGAACTGGCTTGAGTGTATACAGTAAAACACATTTTCATACATATTACCATACATAAAATTTAAAAAAAAATGAAGAGTTGCTGCAAATCTTTGGATTTCTATAAGAGCTTTCTATAAGAACTTGACATTCCACTACCAAATTCATCACGCCCAATAAAAAAACTCCCTCCAAAATTGTATCTTAATGCCCAAATAGGGAGATAATTTCTTTGTTGTCCTTATTCAGAGGACAAGTGTGAAAAACAGTTGCAAATCTGGGGGAATATAACTTCCAGAACGCTACGCATTTTGAGAAACTTTTAAAAAAATCCATGGAATTTCAAAGCCAATCCACTTTAATGAAAATTACAGAAATTCATTTGGCTTTTCATGACCTTTTTTCAGTAAACACATTATCACATAAAACTGTCAAATGATACCCATGACATTTCTGTAATTATGATTATAATGCAATATTTTGCATTATTATATGCAATATTTTGCAAAAATATTGCATTATATTAATGCAAATTATAATAACCTTGTTATTTATATAAATATTTCATTTTAAAATATTTATTTTATATAATTATTTTATTTATAATTTTTATAATAATGCAAAAATATCTGTAATGCAAAATCTCATTATAATCCATTACCAATTTCCATGTTGCTGCTAACAAACATTTTCATATTTTCATAGAATCAAAGTGGTTGGAAGAAACCCTCAAGATCATGAGTAAACCCATCCCCACACCTGCTAAGCCATGTTGTTCCCCAGGGCATCATCTACACATTTCTTGAAACTGCCAGGGACGGTGACTCCAGGTAAGACATCGTCTTACCCGGACAGCCTGTTCCGGTGCTTCACCACTCTTTACGTGGAGAAACTTTTCCTAATATCGCTTCCCTGGCAACTTCAGGCCCTTTCTTCTTGTCGTATCCATAGTCATTCTGGAGATCAACCCCTGTTTCACTGCAGTCTCCTTCAGGTAGTTGTAGAAGGCAATAAGGTCTCCCCAGAGCCTCCTCTTCTCCAGACCAAACCACCCCAGCTCCCTCAGCTGCTCCTCACAGTCTGTGCTCCAGCCCGCAGCTCAGCTTCACTGTCCTTTTCTGGACACACTCCAACACCTCGGTGCCCTTAGAGCTAGGAGTCCAAAACTGAACACGGTATTTGAGGTGCACCCTCATCAGCCCCAAGCACAGGGGGAAACCCTTTTCTGATCACAGTGAACCAAGCACTAATGATACCAAAATCACTTCTGAGCAGGAGGTCATGAATCAGTTTTATCCAATGTGCACCAGGAAACACAGAAACACAATCACATTATATGTAAATTCACTAGTTAGTAACACCTGAAAAATATTCCCCAGGCTGGGTCCCCGTAGAATCATCCTATAACATAAACACTAAATGAGGCAGCTTTATTTGACCTAAAAAGCAACAGAAAAGACAGAACGTGACAGTACTTGACAAAAACATCAAAGATAAACAGCATAGAGAGAGAAGAACCATGTAAACTAAAGCAAAATGTTGGCACGAGGACAAAAGGGATTATAGCCACTATGAATGCACTCAGAGTGGAAACTAGGAAGTGTCTACCCATGGGAGTTCAGAGGCTGTGGAGCAGCCTCACAGTGGGAATAACATAAGGAAAATAACCTAATTAGTCTTAAGTGGGAGAGTGGAAAGTTTAAGAAAGTGACAACAGAAGGGGACTGGATTTGCGAAGAGCCTTTTAGTCCCGTGCTCCAGGAGGAAGTCTTATGAGAGAACAAGGAGAGCCTGTACCTGCAGAAATCTGCATTCAGCAGTATTCTTGTATATTAGTTAATCACACCTTTACCTCACAGCCATCAGCACAGATGCATGCCCATGCCAGACACCTGTGTGTGCCTGATTACAGGGCTAATACCTGGAGACGTTAACTGTGCTTTTACTTTGCTTCTGATCTCCAAACCAGGCTCAAGAGGTATGAGGAGCAATATAGCAACACGATAGAATAAGTGAAGAATATTTGGGGTTCAAGACACCTTGAACATATATTGTCATAAAAATATGCTGACACTGGGGTAAATCTGCTGTAGAAGTTAACAAAAACCCTTTTAAAATATTTTTAACATTACTCCAACTCTACAGTTGCATCTTTTTCTTCTCTATATAATCCCAAGTGGAAGCCAGTTCACAGCAGGCCAAACACAACTTTTTGCCATTTCTACATAAAAATCCAAGAATCATCCCCATCACTATCATTTAAATAAGAAAAAAAAAGAACACTGAAGAAAACAGTAGTATCAATACAGTCATAGGCATTGAAAACACAAGTTAGATGCATAAATATATGCAAGTGTGTTCTTAGATCTTCAGGGAAGTACAGTTACAAAACTCACTGGGAAGTCCTATCTCCACTGAATCCAACAACATCATCATCACTTTCAGAGAAATAATTCATCCCCAAACTTGTCTTCTAAGCAAAGTGGAATTTAAACACGCCAGAGCTCAGAGAGTGGCCTCCTCACATCAGCAGGAAAAGAATTAATTGCCAAGTGATTAGCATCACCTTGCTTTAATTATTGCCTTGATCGAGACATGGATGTGACAGCACTTCCATGATTCCAAGCTCTTCTATCATCATCATATGCCACCCCTGATCCATTCTGCAAATTGGCTTTCTCTCTTACACTAACTGCACTTGCCTTTCCGTGACAACAGTTATCTCCCCAAATCCCTGGGGCACTTCAGCTCTCATCTCGGTGCCTTTACTCTTGAACTTTCATTCTTAAGCATAGAAACCATGGTCCATAGGGTCAACATTAAGTAGCCAAGCTCAGGAGAAAAAGGAGGAATAAAAAATAAATAAATAAATAAAATTAAATAAATAAATAAATAAAATAAATAAAAAGGCACTGCCAGGAACACCAGCATGCCCATTTTTCACCCCAAAAGCATATTCCCCCTCCCAGCCTTGTGTAGGAGGGGGCAGTGCCCCACCACACATCCACTTCCATGAAGCAGAAAGGAAACGTTTCCATGAAGCAGAAAGGAACCATTTTCTGCCCAGGCCCCGCTCTGACATGACCTTCCTTTCGGACACCCCAACGTCCCCCACTCAGTATCTGCTCCCTGCCCGCCCAGGCACCCGCTGCAGAGACCGGGAGCAGCTCAAGGGCAGCCCCGCTGCCTCAGCCGTCCCCAGGGAGGGGTCCCGGTGCCCTGGCTCTTCCCAGGCCTGGGAGAAGGGGCACGAGGCCGGGCATGGAGCTAAGCCCCGAGCAGCAGAGCCGGCCCCACCGATCGCCATTTCCCCCCACGGGGCCTGGGCGCGGGCTGATGACGCGCTCAGCTCCCCCAATGGCCGCGGGCCCAGCATGGCGGCTGCCGCAGGCGGCACGGGCCGAGGCCTTGGTGCTGCCGGGGCTGCCGCGTCCCGCAGGCCGGTGCCCCGGGTCCGCCACTCAGCCCCTGTGAGGGCTGCGGCCCTGCCCGCCTCTCCGGGCCCTTCGGGGGCCGCCAAGCCTGTCAGCACCCCTGGGGTGCTGCGGGTGCTTCTTGCAGAGCTGGACTGGGCTTGGGCTTGGGCTTGCTTTAAACAGCCAAGCAGAAGCTGGGCATGGTGGGGACGTGCAGCACAAGCTGTGCATATAACACCTCCCTTGGAGAAAAATAAATAAATAAGTAAAAAATAATAAAAAACCAAACACCTAAGTCCAAGCGGGAGGAGGCACTGATTTAATTGGCATGGTGGCTACGTTGCCTTGGGCAGCCGCCTCGGAGAGCCTGTCAGTGAGGAAAGAATGGAGGGCAAGGGGCGCTCTCGGTTCTGAGAGTCCCTGGGCGATGCTGATGGGAGCCCGGAGTATCCACCCAGAGGGAAAGGAAGTCCATGCGCCGGGCCAGGTTGGCCTGCCCGCGGCCCGGCCTTGCCCTTGGCCGCCGCGCTCCAGCTGTGTAGACGGGTCCGGTCCTCGCGTGACAGCCCCTGGCGTCCTGGCTGGACGACGGCTCTGCCCACAGCCGTATCCGCACCAGTCTTTACGCTGCGCAAGGACAGACCAGCAGTGCAGCTTTTGTTTTGTTTTATCCCGGAAAAAAAAATCTTAAGCTGATCCAGGGACTTGAATTACCATTGAAATCTGATTTGAGTTAGAATTGCCTGTATATACAGACAATTTTTCTGTCTTTCACATGCACACATACAGTTTTTGCTCTAACATCCTGTGTTGTGGTAAATCTTACTCCATTCTCAGCTCATTTATATCCTGATGTCTCCTGGAAACCTGGCTTCTCATAACAAATGTAAATAATTAAATAAGCTCTTTGTTGGAAGTTGTCATGTGCAGACTCCACTGCTTTGAAATCTACACCTCTTTCCTCAGAACTGCCCCGAATGGTGTTTGCTTCAACACACCCCTGGGAAGGAGTGGAAAACCTGAGCTAGTTGGTCAAACTAGCTTCTTCCTGCTGGATTTTGCAACTGCAAAAAAGGCTTGAAAACCAAGCAGAACAAAACCCACCACTAACACCAAGAGCCTTGCTCTGAGCACGTGGGATGCTTCCCTGGATCATTCCCTGCTCATTTCCTAGAGTGAAATTCAGGCACAGCAGCTCAGTGCAGTCCTGAAGTGTGTAGAGGCTTTTTTTTTTTTTTTTTTTCTCCCCTCTCCTACTTTTCTTTTCCCTCCTTCCTTGTGTTGATTTGTGTGGCCGGAATGACTTTGATTTCAGCAAGTTTGCTGTTTATTCACGTCACAAGTTTGACAGCTTTACACCAAATCAGATTGCTGGGTTTCAGGAGAGCTCTGAGGCGTCACTGGGAGCTCCTTTAGATTAAACTCGCCTCCCCGGTCTCCCCCCTCTCCCCCTCCTTCAGAGCCATTTAAACCTCGCTGGGGCTTTAACAGAAACGTGCTCCTAAGACCTGTAGTCCATCCTGCCACTAACATGGTAAGTGCTATTTGCATTTCTCTCGACCTGCAGGCAGGAAAGGAGAAGGTGGTGCCTTTGCCCCGGGGCTGTGCAGTGGGTTTTGTGCCCTCTTTAAGGTGCGGAAGGAAGAGGGCTCCTCTCTACCTGCAGGAGCAGGCGGTGCTGCTCTGCCTTCCCTTGGAGGAGCAGGTTCCCTGCTCGAGGCTCCAGGCTGTGCCGTTGTCTCGCAGGGCTTCGGGGCTGCTGCAGCTTGTGCTCACTTGCAGGAGGGAAAGGGATGTCTCCAGAGACAAGCCCAGGCTTGGCTGCTTTGCAAGCCGGGACCCCTGCAAAGCTGCAGAGGCAGAAGTCACGGCAAGCAGCCTGGACGTGACTCTGCCGACTGTGCGCAGCCCTAGAGCTGAGCCCAGCCCTCCGCATGGACCGTCCGAGGCAGCGCCTGGGCTGCCCTGCCCGTCCTGCGCGCCCTCGTGCTGCGCGGGGGGCGCAGGGCGCAGCGCCCTTGGTGGCGGCTCCGCCGCGCTGCGGGGCCGCCCCTGCCGGCCGCTCCGGGCGGGCTGCGGCGGGAGCGGCGCGGGGCGCCGGGCGGGCCCGGGGGGGCGGGCCGGGCTGTCCCCGCTCCAGGCACCCGCGGTCGGCCCGGGGGGCCGGGAGCAGCGCCGGGACAGCGGGGCCGGAGGGCGGGATGCGGGCGCCCCTCGGGGCCTGCTCCCGCCGGGCGCCCCGCCGCCCGCCACGGCGCCTTCCCTCCGCAGAGCAGCGCGCCCTGCCCGCAGCCGGACTTCGCCTGCCCCTGGCCCGCCCCCGCCGGCGTCTCCACGGAGAGCAGCGCCGCCGAGCAGGGCCCGGGCCCGCGCGGTAAGTGCGCGCGGCCGCCGCCCGGACCGGCCCGGTCCTCCCGGGGCTCCGCGGCGCGCCCGGGGCTCCGCGGCCCGCTAAGCGCCGCTCTGCCTCCCGCCAGGCCCGGCCCGCGCCCCGCAGCGAGCGGCGTGGCGGGGCGCGCAGCTGTCCTGCCAGCTCCACCGCAACAAGCAGGTAAGGGGCCGGCCCCGCCGGGCAGCGCTGCGCCCGCCGCGCTCATCTCTCTATCCTTCGGCTGTGGGAAGCACCAGGAACCCGCCCTGCTCGCATGGCCCTTGCTCCTTAGTGGAGATATTCCAGCCCTCGGTGCTGTCCCACGAAGCTGAAGGGCTGTGGCGGGGCTGGCTCCCCTCAGGATGCAGCACGTGGCACCAGCCCCTCAGAGCTCGGGGTGGCCCAGGCCGCCTGGGAGCTGCCCCGCCGGCCCTGACGGCACCAAGGGCCCTGCTCCTGACTAAGGGCATGGGCTGCACTTGTCCTCCCGAGCCCACCAGGATTACCCGCGGGAGAAAAGTTACTCATGTGGAAGATCATCTGTTTGGGCCAACAGTTCAAATCGTCACTATTATCTTCATTATCTCTCTCTTATTTCCTTTTATTTATCTATTTATTTAATTTTGCTTCGTAAGATTTACTAAGATTTACCAATAGGAAAACCACTGAACAGTCCAAAGATGAAGGAATCCCACTAAGATCGCCAAGAACCAACACTTGGAATAAGACTTTGACATATTGAAGCCAGCAGCAGCTAACTTCCTATCTTCAAGTTCTGTAGGACTGGGGGCCAGCTCCAGATGTCAGCGTGTTTCTTTCTTTGACTTTGTCTCAACCATTTACATGAGCAGATGCCTGCGGTGCTTGGCAGAAGGTCCCTTGTCCTCCTAAAGGCATCTCCAGACCTGTGATCAAGAGGCAGTGCTCTATGCTAATACATGAGTATGAGAGTTCCCGTGAAAAATTGTTAGTGGTCTGCAAAAAAATCTGCAAACCAGAAACCATCTGTGGTCTGGCTCTTGAGACCACAGCTTATCTCCACTCTCCAGTCAAGGACTGAAGGGATGCCTGAGTGTCAGGGAAACGTGGAGACAGACAGTAAGATCTTCCTACTGCATCCTAACCACATAAATTGTTAGTCTACATTGTCTTCCTTCCCTTTTTCCTGCCAGGCATTTGTACATTGGAAAGAGAGGGAAGCAAAGCCGGAGACCTGGCAGCTGCTATCATGCCCATGACTATTTCTGGCTACTTATGGAGCTACCCGTAATTGTGTTCTGCTATTATTCTCTGATAGTCATTTCAGAGTTATCTTCTCAAGCACTCGCCAAAGAATAAAGAAAGTCAAAAGTGAATATTGAACAGTCGTGCCACTTAGATTTACAGAGACAAGAGGCTTGAGGGGGTGGGTTAAATTCACAAAGCAAACACCCAGATCACAAATCCAAGCAGGCTGTACCATAGGGCAATTGCTATTAAGTTACAGAGTCAACATCTATTCATCAATATCTCTATTCCGCAGCTTCAAGATACTTTGCTTCAGAAGGAAGAGGAACTTGCTAGGTTACACGAGGAAAACAACAACCTCCGCCAGTACCTGAATTCTGCCCTCATTAAATGCTTAGAAGAAAAAGCCAAGGTATTGTGTTCAAACCTGTTGTATAGACATATGCACATGAAACAGGTGAATAGGCACCTGCCATTAAAATACATGGAAAAGTGGAGAAACCTGCACTATGAGAGTTATTTTAACTTTACAGAACTACCAAGTTGCAATGGGTGGTTTCTCTTTTTATATATTTTGTTGTAACATCTCCCAAGGTATGTTTTGATTCGTTTGTATTAGAACACTGATCGTTATTTTTTTAGTAGTTAAGAATCACTTTAAAAGGTAGCATCTGAGATGAAACACTAAGTTGCTTGATACATTCCACTAAACTAAATATCATTTTAAAAAAAAATCTTGATTCTCTCTCTCTTCTTATTGACCTAAAGACTTTTTACTACTCTAGACTTGCCATTGAGAAGAAATTATTCATTGTCTGCTTACCTCTAAAGATGGGCATGAAGTAGAAGTATTTATTAAAAAAAACAAACCGTGAACTTTCCTTTTCCATCTTATTCCCTGTTGATAATGTGGCAAATCCCCTCCCATAGAAAGATCTGCCTTCTGACAGTAAAAGAACATCTCCTTCACTGGGCATATGAGGAAAATGTGGCCACCCTTCCATTTGATGTCCAGTGTGCACCTCATGGGAGGTGACTGAGCGCTGAATTCATGGTGCCCATGAGTATTTTCCTTGTTACTCTTGGCTTTTGTCATGCACATCTGGATGTTTGAATGACCCTGGTCCTGTGCTGAGGGCAACTGAGGGAGATTCAGGAGCTCAAATCCCCAGAGTCTGCAGCTCAGAGAGATCCCTCACTGGGATCTCACCTGCCCTGCTGTGACTCCCCTTCACATCTTTTCTCCTTGTCAGGCAGCCTCAAACCCACTCCCCTGCCCAACGCTGCTGGCAGCGTCAGCACAGAGGAGTGCTGTACAGCAAGGCGGGAGCTCTCCTTTCACGCCTTGCTCAGTGAGAATGCAGTCGAAACAAAGGCCATATTGACACCGTCAAATTCTTCTCTGTCAGGGACTAAGTTGCTGCAGAGGCTATAAAGACACAAAATTTAGTGATATCTGCAAGCTTAAGGAACAAAAAAAGAGCACAGAGTGGAGATCTTACAAAGGTTATAGTAACCATCTTGTCCATCTAAAATCTGAGAATCTGAGAACATAAACATATTGCTTTCTGATTACTAAAGAATCAACTTTTAATCTATTTTCTCTGCTTCATTTTATTTTATAGAAACTGCTGTCCTGCCATAACCAGAAAAACTGTACTGTTCTCAAAAACACCAAAAGGAGATTAAAAGATGACCACTGCTTTGCTCCTCAGGAAAGTCCACATGCCTCCAAAGCTAGAAGGAATCTCTTTAATGAGTTCACTGCCTGTGAAGAACAAGCCAGTCCTACCGTGGACAGCTGGGTCTTGCAGACTTTAGGATTAAAAGACATCAACACTATTGATGAATCCTTGTCAGCTAACTACAGTGCCTTGTCCTCAGACTTTGGAAAAGACACGTACTGCCTGAGCCCCAGTGAAGCCAGAGACTATGACCACAGTGAGGGTGCAGCAGCAGTTTACAGCTGTGGCCAGATGCCTCCAGCCAACAGCAGTGCCCATTCGTGCAGTGAGGGCTCTCCCTTCATTCCTCAGCTCTCTTCAGCACCATGCGTCTCCTCACCAGTGCCAAGCCTCTCCTCCTTCCCAGCTTATGGGTTGCCTTATCTGACTAGTGACTTGTCACCTAACAAAACTGAGGTGGCCTTCACAACCTCCCTGAGTCCTCACCGCAACGTGAGGACACACAGCTTCCACCAAGGACAAGCCTTTGTGCGCAGAGATGATGATGGAGGATGGAGATTCACCTGGGTGCCCAAGCAGGCTGAATAAAGCACCTGCCTCAGGGGCCACCTGTAGGGAAAACAGAAGACAGTTCATCTTGTCCTTGAGACCAGTTCAGGCAACAGAAAAGATTTCCCTTTTGGGCTCTGTTAGAACAATATTCTTACCCACTCAGTCCTCACTCCCTCTTAGGTTTTATGGGAGGGGCTCCAGATTGCACTTGGATTGCACAGATAAACATCTATCCCAAGCCAGATGTACAAATGGGATCTATTTCTCATGTTTCTATGATGAAACATCTACTTTTATTTGCTTCATTTCTTTTTTCCTATCACCAGCCATTCCTTGCCAACAGGTATGGGACTGCTTTCAGCACCATAAATCACTTCCACATGAACCAAATTAGAAGGGATTTAGGGAATATAATGTGGAAGTTTCACCTCTATCACAGATGCCCATGGATAACAAAGAAGGCATAGGTCAGTGGATGAGGATCAACAGTTCCTATGTGACCCAGGCCTCTCTTGGCTACATAGATTGCCTTGGATTAAGGCACCCACGGTATTGTTAATGGGCTACACCAGACTGACCTGCCTGCAGTCACGTGGAGCTATTGTTTTTCGACAATGCCTCAAAATAAACAGGATTTGCTTCTATTGCCTGGAGGCTACTTAGTTACAAGTGATTCAGCAAGTTTAGTGATTTTTTTTTTTCTGCTGAGATTAAAAGACTAATGTGTTTACTGCATTATGTTTTAAAGGTATTTTAACCTTCAGGTAAAGGGAGTTTAGAAAGTTTGAGCCCTGTTTCTCACCCATTCTAGCTATATTATAGGAACTAGACCCAGAGATTCTGAATAATGACACTGCCATCACCAGCCAAGGCCCTGGCCCAATATATGAGTTACAGGAATTCACTCCTGGGTGGATGTACTATGTACACATCTCTCCTGCTTAGGATTCATTCCCTTCACCTGTCTTCCATGTTTGCTTGCCTGATGTTGGAAGCCCTTATAAGAGAGTTACTCATGGCTATACAAGCAGTTCCTGTGGCTGCACTGGGGCTTTTTCCATCATCAAGAGCTGCACACATGAAACCGAACATTTACTTCCCAGGGAACAACTTCTTGACCTTTTCATCATGATCTCTGGAGATCCATCAGTCCATTATCCCTGACCTGTGCTCCAGACATTCATGATAATATAAACAGGTCAGAGCTGCTTCCCATTTTCTTCCCTCCACGTTTCCTATTTTTCCTGGTTTGGGAGGCAGTATCACAGAGTGGTTAGCGTGGTTGATTGGGAACCATAGCTCTAAACACTAGCTCTTGTCTTGCCCTATCCCTGTGAGGCAGTGCTATCTCGAAACCAAGATCGTCACTGTGTCAAGAATGCTTTAAAATCTCTGCTCTAGCACTGTGCAGAGCTCTTCGTAACACTACTAATAATATGGTCAGCTAAAATGAAGTAAACACCAGTAATGTTGTGTTACCTGTTTTCTATTTTACAGTACTTTGATGTACAAGTCATAGAAATAAAGGGAATTATTTAGTTATTTCTTTCAGTATGGCCCCAGCCATTAAGGAACCACTCACATAAATAGAAAGAATATATGTAAGATATCCTCCAAGTTGCTTATTTTTCTGAAACAAAATCTATTATTTTTAGAAGATAAAAGTATCTGCTAAATACCATCTTGTGCCTTAGAATTACAGGATTTGGAATTATCCATTAGGAGCCAGAGTCATTTCCAAGAAGACTTTTAAATAAACGATTTCATATATCTAGGTAGTAACTTTAAAGTGTTAGCAGATTTCTAGAATAGGCAACTTGAAAGGATTTATTGCAGGGATTATTGTGCAGGATTGAGGGAAAGAAAAAAAATAAAAGGACCTAAGGAAAACATTTTGTTGGGGGTTCTATTTTGGCCACCTGAAGAAAACTGATCTGGTCAAAACCCAATGTACCTATAAGCACTTTCCTGCTCTTAAATGAAAGCTGGAAACAAATAAACAGAAAATACTGGTGTCTTACAAACAGTTCCTTTTTTCCCAAACTATTTCTTTTCTTTATGTTTGTTTTTTATTTTTTACCTACTATAAAGGGTACATTGAAGAAAACATTCTTGATACTAAAATTTCTATAGTGGTATATGGTAGTGCTGAGTGCAGAAAATGCCAGTCCTTACCATAATTATGTGATGGGAGTCTCCATCTGTGTAATGATGTGGGATAAACAGTATCCAGGGAATAAAAAGACAGCGTGACTAGAGGAGTACAGTCTCTGCAGCTCTATATGCCACGTCTTTAAAGCTGCTATAAAAGATCAGAGAAAGATCTGTCTCCAATCCAATTCCAATGCTATTGAATGCTGCGCCTTTTGGATTTTGATATTATGGATTCAGCATCAATTTCAAGTATTTTCAGTCCCTTCAATAAATATTAAATCATGTTTTGTTCCATTTTATAAAGAGAGAATCATTCTCCCTCTTCGACGCTACCTTTCAGCATTATTAGGCCATTTCATGCAGGGATACGTCCTTCAGCAGACAGCTGGAATGAGACAGTCATGTCTTTGGTACAACCCTGGAGCGACAGGGATCCCAATAGGTGCTTCAATCTTTGCCAGCCTTTAGGACAAGTCCCCTTGTCTCTTAGCAAATAAACTATAGATGCAAGTGAAGTGTTTGATGAATAACTTACCTTCAAAAACAATCAGGCAGCTGAGATACAGGAGCATGGGGCAAAATCATGGGTTCTGATGTTGCTTCTGGTCACGCACTTCATCTTTGTCCTTGGGCTTCTCTTGGTTCCAGTGCTGGACCAGTTCCAGCGCTGGAACAGTACAGAATGATTTGAAGAGAAAATCAGCTCTTGCTGCTGCAAAATGTATGAAAGGTTCCCCCTCTCCAAGAAGGATCATTAGGCCCATATACTTTTGGGGTAGGAAAAATATGGCTTGAATGCCCCAGGGGCACTGGGAGGTCCTTTGTGCAGCGGCCAACTTCATTGCCTGTAAATATCCATCTTATATTAACATGTTTGGTTTATTTTTTTATTTGAGGTTTGTTGTGTGAATATATCACGTCCACCTGCACATTTGAAAACAATCCATGCCTTTGGAAACATGAATAGAAATGGAAGCTAACTTAACACTTTATATGTTGACGTTTATGATTGCATGTGATTGAAAATAAGGTTATAACATGAGCTGATTTTACTATTTCTAATAAATTATGTCTAATAAAACTTGAAATAATGTTTATCTGTAGCAAAACTCTTCTCACAACTTAATATCCACCTACTTAAATATCTGTTCAGCTTTGCACAGCACAACACCAGGCACGTGAAAGAGCATCCAAGCCCCAGCACCCCCTCAAGGAGGGACTTCCCTGCTGGGCTGTTGTCGGTCCAGCTGTGCACTGAGGCTCCAGCTGTTCCGTGGCCCGTCCAGCTGTGCAGGGATCCGCGCGGCCGCTCCGGCTCTGTCCAAGGTGCTGAAGCGCCGCTGCGTATCCCTGCAGGAAGAGCGAGTGTCTCCTGGAAAACTCCCCTTACCGCGGTCACACACCGCGTTAGGCAGATAGAGAAGGTGTAGATACCCTCTGCTTGCCTCCAGCCAGGACAGTCGAAACGAAAAACATCTGGATCTCTGAAGAGCTTCATCACTTCTGATCTCTGAAGCATCCACACATCTTATTTCACATGTGATACCGAGCTTAATAAGATGCTGCACTCAAATACAGCAACATAATTGTTAATAGAGATTTAGATCATCTTTTTTTTTCTATATTATGGGATTAACTAGACTATCCAGAAATATGGGCTCTATTGTACTAGGAATTTCATTCAAAGCTGTCATAGTTCTGACTTCATTTTGATCTCAGCTCCATTCATTAGGATACCAGATAGAAAAAAAAAGAACATTTTACAGAAAGAGACTATCCTACATTATTGTGAAAGGGACACCCCCGCTCCACAAACTGTTCACTGCTTTTCCCGACATTCACTTCATATTTAGACGCTAGTCAGCTGCTAAGAATTTCCAGTAATCAAGAGAAAGAACATAAGAACTGCCTTTCCACTGATGCCCTATTCTTTGCCTTCTAGCCCTATTTGAAACTCAGCATTGCGGAACTATGCAACAACTTCAAACAGTACTTAAAAATAAGAGAGTGGAATATGAAAATTTGTCTAAATAGAATGTTTCCATGCAGATCTGCTTTAAGCAAGGGTGATATTTCTTTGCTTAGAGAAATATGCAGTTCCAGGATACAGGTAACTGCACTGACACAGAGATGTGCACTCCTGGCTAACCACAGACAGAATCCTAACCAAAGTAGCCCAGATCAGCTCTACTTCCATGCTCTGAATTTTACTGCAAATGGGGTAGAATTTGCTCCAGCAGTTTTACTCATAACTGTTGCACCTTCTTTGAATGCTATTTTCCTCATTTGGACCTAGAATTGAACAGAATATGCGGGAATTAAATAATCCTTTTTTCTCCGGAGCAAGATACATGGATAAACTGACTCCCTGTGGGTCATGAAATACTTAATGGTGCTTTTTTGCAAGTAAAAGTCATCCTGATTTAATAGTAGGCATTGTTTATTTTTCTAAAAATCTTTTGTGCAAAAGCAGTTGTGTTGCTCCATAAGTCATTTCAGCAACAGTATTTTTCTGATTTTTTTTTTTTTTTGATAACCTGTAAAAAATGCAGAAGCCTACTGAAATCAGCAGGAGCTAGTACTACTCCTGTGAACAAAACGAAGCTGAAAATTTAAGGTTTTTTTCCTTACTGAAAGACCTTTCACCAGTATGAAATATCATTACCTCAATAGCCCTGTGGCTGTTTTAGAGTGTATAAACATTTGCTGCCTATCTGTTAGCCATTCAATTACTAAGATCTTGATACTGTGTAAATATTTAACTACAATAGAGAATATAAATCAGAGAAAGTGATTCCGTTTCGTTCCACCAGTGGCAGTAAATCACAGTCCATTCAGATTACTGGGCTACACCCTGGCTAAGCTGTGAACAGTAACAGATATCATCTAAAATTCCTTATAAAGCTGGTCCTAATCTAATTCAGACTTTGCAGGGAGAAACCTAGCAGCATACCACAAATCCAGAAACCAAGAGCACTTCCAGACCTTGTTGAGAGATGGAACTAAAAGAGAAGCAGAGAAAATAAGTGACTAGTGATAGGTAAATTCTTGTTTCATTCATTTTCCAGTAAAGGCAGTCAAATGGGAGAGATAATATAATCATATTTAGAAGCAACAGCATTGTGGGACTCAAAACTAGCAGGTGCTTATGATCAAGGTTTGTGCTCTGCACTCTTAACTGGCCCAAAGTCTTTCAAATAAGGAGGTATCACATGAACTGACTCTGCTATCTACATGGTGACATAACTGATCTTGTTCCCCAAATACACTGGACATTGGGAATCAGTGGCAAACAAGACATGGCTTTTTCTGAGAGAACTGCAAAGATCCAGGCACAATAATAATAATGCCTGGTGTTCTCCATCTCCAGACTCGCTTATTCTTACCTCCTAATTGCTATCCTGTGTCATCCTTTACCTCCTAAGCACAGTGGCAAGAGGAACAGTGAAATTCATCCCTGTGGCCATGCCAAATGTGACCTGCAAATCATCTGACTTCAGAAAATAGAGTAGGGGTGGGATGTTCATGCTAGCAGCACAATCTGCTGAGCCTCGTTGCCCCATCCAGATTCTTTGCTCGCCATCCACTTTGCTCAGGGCTAAGTGGTTTTGGGGTGTGTGGAATTGATTTATTTCTATTCTTGACTTGGAGTTATGCTTTTCACTCGCAGGCCACGTTACGTCGCCAGTGCCACCTGGCGGTCCTCGGCCCCAAGAGGCCGCTCACACAGGGACGGCCTAGGACAGCTGCAGTCCTCTGCAAGGAAGTCCGATTGCAGAGAGGAGAGGAGAGAGAAAAAAATAAAAACAACAAAAAGAGCAAAGGTCCTTGCTCGCTTTTCTAGCTTGCGTATTCTCACCTGGAGTTGCAGACTGTGGAAGTTAATGTGCCTTTGCTAGGGATGATTGTTTTCTCTTCCTTTGTGTACCCTCCTTCTCCACTTGGCCCACGCGCAGGTAACAAGTTTAGCAAGTGTCTGCAAGCCCTGCTGCATACAAACAAGCCTCATGCAGCATTATAGTTCATTTTTTTCTCTTCTCCCCTTGTGGCCTCCCCTGGCTAAAGTCAAAGAAATGCTGAAGCATCCAAGTAAATGAGCCTATTGGATTCTCATCAGCTTTAAAATGCTGTCCTGTGTGCCAAAAAGACAGCTCTGCAGAACCAGGCTCACAGGATAGTTGTATTGAAACCTCTTCTTTTTTGCCTTGTCTTCTCGAAAGGCATCTTGGCAGGGGGACATGTGCCTCCCGACGCAAAGCGGCACCCCACTCTGAGCACACAAAATACGCACATAGCTGAGTGCAGAGGGCGGTCCAGCATCTATCCCCTCCACAAACACTTGCGCTGGCCTCCCACCACAGTCATCTAAAGATGCTGCATTAATTGTCCCATAACTGAAAGCTACTACACCACCTGTCAGGAAATGAGCCCCGACATGTTTGTGTTAGTCCTCTTGAACATCCTCAGAAGTGAACATGCGAGTCACAGTAATCAGAGCGCTAGGCTGACAGCAATGTCTGAAGCCTCCTCTGTGGTTTGAGAGGGGCACAGCAAAGCAGGGCTTAGTCATGCTCTAAGTGGGAGTAGAAACTCACCCGTTCCTTGACACATGTTGCAAGTAATCAAGAAGCAAGCCCAGACTCCCAGTAGTTGTGCTCTACAACGCTGCGTAGCCCTGTGCCCTGCATCTGAGCCGTTAAACATGACAACTGCTTCAGTCACTAGGCAAGCTCCAGCTCCCTGTGCCTCTAACTGCAACGTATCATCCTCTTCTCCTATTCCACAGGAACAGCCATGCACAGAGAGCAACATGGAGCTACCCTGAACCCAAGAGAAAAAAGAAGGGGAGAAAAGTGAATTATACAATGATGGAGATGAACATTTACCTTGGATGTTACTTGCAATAAATGATTTGACCACGTCAATCGCTCCTGTTGAGGACAGAAAAGCAGGGGATGAACATCAGCTCAGACAAAGAAATTGGTACTTTTGCTTGGGACCAGCTCAGATGCATCATTTTACAGTAGCCTGGGGAATTTTTCAAAGTACAGAAAGGAAATCAAAAATAACCTCATTTGGGCTGTTATCTGCGTACAGCTCAGGAGACAGATGTATGAAAAGGAAGGCAGCTGTAGAAGCCACGGGAAAGGAGAGCAATATTTGTGTGCATTCATTTCTTATTGATTAATTTTTTCAGCCCACTTTGGAATTGGCTGTTCATTTCAGCATGGATGCACTCCACAGTTTGTGGCACACTGAGCTGTTTCACTGTGCCAACTGTGTTGTGCCTGCCAACATTTGTCAAGAAATAACAGAGGTCACACATGGTGTCAAAAAAAATGAAGGAAAAAAAAAGAAAAGAAAAAGGTCCCTGGCACAATACATAGAACAAAGCATTGTATTAGTAGCAATGAATTCAGACCAACTGATGGTGGAATTAATGAAATCCATGGCTGGCACTCTTTGCATCCCGATGGAGGCTACAATGGACAAAGCAAATGTACTGGCCACTAGCCCATAAGATCAGCAAACACTGCTTGCCCAAGGCAGTTGGAAGCCCATTGCCTTCCCTGACAGGTCTTGAAGAATTACAGTGCTTACCCAAGATCACTTCTCTCTGATTCTAAGGCAACAGGAAGCCCAAAGACAGGGAAGCAAACAGTAACATATCTTTCTCTTACCTTAATTTCTTACTTGCCCTGAAGATGGATCTTATCACCTAAGCAACAGCATCTGCTCCATCTTCTCTTTGACAGCTTCCAGTCCTTTTTGTTTTACCCAAAAAAACTTTTCTATGTTTACCTATATTTGAGAATATATTTGTTTCCAGAAATAAGGAAAATATTCCTCTCAAAGGAGGTCAAATACTGCAGTAAGTGGCTAGATACATAGTGTATTCCCATCTCTGAGGATATTCAAAACTTGGCTGGACAAGACTCTGAGCAAAGGTCCCTTCCTGCCTCAGATTTTCAGTATTTCACCAGCTCATTCAGCCATCCCTTCAATAATACCTACTGGAACACACAACCATTCAGAGTTCATCTGCCTTCTGACTGTCTATCAGTACCTAGAGCATAATCCTCCACCTATGGTTACATGTGATCCCATAGAGTTTCCAAACACACCTGAAAAGAGAACCCCGAAATCCCAGCTGTTTGCCTGTAACCACTCCACTAGGTATTTTAAAAGGATAGTCACTTCTGTGGTTTCACTATTAACCCTGACTATGTGTTTGTTCCCTTTCAAAAGGATAATTCGGGCTCAACTCTTTAAAATATAACGAAGTACACCAAGCCAGGCACAAGCCAATGTCAAATCTCCTAAAAGAAATATCTACAGATCAAAAAGGCCAAGTTAATTCCTTTCTTCTAGAGTATTTTAATGGGATTCTTTCCTGTCTAATGTTTAATATGAGTGGAATAACTGTTTCTCTCTTCTTATTCCAGATTAGCATAGGAAGAAAAATTAACTGCTTTAATTCCTCTTAATACTTCCCAGTTAGCTACCTAACCAACAGCACTGGAAAGCTTATGCAGATGGAGGCCTCTCCTCTTGCAACATCTCTAATTGGCCACTATCTAAGCATGGACACAAACCTTTCCCAAAGTTGCATCCTCTTGGCTCTTCATAGCCCCAGGGAAGGGGCTTGAATGTGTGCATGAGGATGCACACAGGGCAATGGAAATAAAAAATTTCAAAAGCAATATCTCTTGCAGTAGATTCATTTTGATATAACTACATTTTCTGATAGGAAACAGTTGTTGATTTTTTTTTTTTTTTTTTTTTAGAAAGATTTCTCAGGTTGAAAGGAAAGCAGGGATAGCAGAAACACAACTTTCAATTGCAGCTTCTACTGAGGCCATGGTCGTAACAGTTTTGAACTAAAATAGCACTTAACCTGATCAAGGAGAGAGCATGACAGTGCTTAGCAGTTTACTTATGTTTAGCTCTCTACAGTCATAACCTGCAAGGTAGAAACACAGCTCCTCAATTCCATGTGATTCAGTAATCTTGTGCTAGTAAACGAAGAGGAATATACCTGGTAGCACAAGGGATCTGGTTGCAACAGCCTTTTGAAGCTGGAAAAAGGAGGCCATAATATGTGCAAACGAGGCCAAACTTGGGACCAAAGTCTTTTGTTTTCTTTCCTCTGATGCTGAGGAGAGGAGCGTGTCTGGGTCTGCACGGAGCGTTCCCACCGAACAATGTGAGCCACACGCCAACCTGGAGAGCTGCCAGTGCACGGCCACCTCCGGGAGCTCCAACTGCAAGGCAGGAGGAGCACACAAAGAGCAGGGCCAGGTTATCACAGGCTTTCCAGAGAAGGCCAAAGCAGCCATTTGTCATCATTATATTAATTCTCTATTCTTCTAATTTCTGTGCTCCCTAGAAAATAAAGTAATGCTTAGTGGGAAATAAAATGAGGGAAAGAACAAGTTGAATACCCGAGACTAAGCTGATGAAGAAAATGATGAATAACCAGGATAGCTGGCATAACTCCTATTTTTCCCTCATGAATACGCCACAATCTACTGCCCAAAATAAATCAAAATCTTGATTTAGTACTTGCCATGGTATAAAAAGGTTTTGATTGCTTGGTTACCTCCCTTTTGCCAACTTAACTGTCATGCTTCTCTACATATACCTTAGCATACCTGACTCTGCATCCAGACACTCAGTTTTCAGACTCTTAACTTTAGGAAGCCCATCAGTTCCAGGGAATGCTTTGCTAGATTGAAACTAATGTCAGAACGGGGTAGCTACTCCTGTTGCTGAAACATATTTTACATGTGAAAGGCAAAAATAGGGAATATAAGGAAAAAGAATCAGAGACTAGGGAAAAAAATCAGAATTAGGGGAAAAAATAGATAAGAAAAAAAGATAAATAGAAAAAAAAAAGATAAACACAGAACTAGTAATTTTTTATTTTTAATGGTATTTCCCTGTCAAAGGAACTCCGGGGTGCTGGCTGTTGCACTGCTAGCTCTGGCTTTGTTCTCTTTGCTTTAGCAGAAGAATTCTCTGATCAGATTTGTCTCCCCATTGTGGCTTGAAATAATGTAGGAAAGCTGCAGCCCATTGGCACACAGGCTGGAGATCAAATGTGCCAACGGGGTGAAAGATCAGGGACAATCCCTGTCCATACAGAAGGATGCAGGATCTTAAATGCTTGGACAGACAAGCCTCTAAATTTGGATTCTTATTCAAAAGTTAGTCCCACTCCACGACAAATCTATGGCATCTCTGGATAAGCAGGGGTAATAGTCTCCCTTGCCTCTGATGTTGAAGGTCCAAATATTGCAAACCTGAGGCCAGTACTAACTCTAAGCTTCTGCCCCATGTCCATTACCCTGCTGAGCACTGACTCCAACCCAAATCATTATAGTCACTCCGAGCATGTTGGCTCCCATGTTCCCAGTCCTATGTTCCTAACACTGAAGAGCTACTGAGTGATTGTGTCCAAAAAACCTAGTGTGCAAAAGCCTGGGCTCTCTAATCCAAGCTTTCCTACAGGAGACAACCTTTGCCTGCTGTCGCCAGAGAAGGCTCACTAGCAGTTCCAACACATGACAAGATGCACCTCGATTCTGTCATTCTATCAGGTTGTGGCCATCAGCCCATTATGGCCAAAATGAAGCGTGAATGACAATGCCAAAGGAAAACCAAGGAAGGACAGAGTGGGTGAGAGGCTCTTGTGGAAGCATATGCTTTGATTAGTGTAAATGATCAGATTAAAGATAACCTAACAGGCTTTGATTAGCTGCCTCCTCATTGACATGGCAGCCTGGAGAAAACAAATATAGGAGAAATGATCTCCTGAATTCTATACTGCTGGGTGTTATCAGCCTTCTGTAACAAGCCCATCTTTGTAGAGGTGATGTTTTTTATTAGTTTAAAAAAAATCTGTTTGGAAGGCCTTAATATATAAACTGAGATAGCCTAAAGCATCATTATAAAATAGTTGATAAAGAGATTGAGAATATGAAGTTTAAAACCTCATTTATCATTGCCATCTTCTGGTCAGAAGGGTGTAGTGTTTTTCCTTGCTAAAGGAAGCAAGTTAAATCATAGGGCAGAGAGATGCAAGAGATTTAGACCTCAAGTACTGTTCCTGGCTGCAGAACTCTGCTGTGTGTGGGAAGGGTATCAACATGGGTATCCCAGGTTCACTATGCATCTGTAACATCTGCTCAAAAGAGTGATTTTGTGAAAAAAAATCTGCTTATACTTTGAAGACGTTTGAAAGCCAAGCAATGCTCACTGAGACCCCTAAGTGTCATTTACCTCCTTTCTTTCCAGTACTTTGCTTAATACTCAAATGGCTATCCACCAGTTCTTCCAGTGCCTTCATGACTGAAGGCCAAAGGACCTTTTTAGAAAAATAACTCACAAGTCATTTTCTGTTCTTAGCCAGACTTATTCCTCCCATTGACTTTAAGCTTTGGGACAGATTTAGGCCTGAACTACATTCAATGAACAATTCATGCCCATCATGCACATCTGACCTGCACCCAACACATGAGTGGTGGCATACACACTCCACAGCTTGCAGTAATCTGGTTGTGACCTATGATTCTAGCAATGCCCAGAGTTGCAACACTGGCAAAAATGGGGATTTATTTTTATCCAAACAGGTACAGATAGGGTAAGGTCAATTTTGTTCACTCAAAAGTAAATTAAGGTCACTTTTGTTCACTGGCACTATCATGCCAGGCCTGGCACCTGAGTGGGAAGTAACACAGTCTCATGAGTCCTTGCTACCATTGCCTTCATCTTCACAAAGTGAGTCTCCTTTTGCCTAGGTGGAAGGAGCTGCTCTCCTGTACATCACTTAAGAAGAACATTGCACATATTCAGCTTTCCACTTTTTTCCTTTCTTAAATATGACACCAAGAACTTCACTCACACCTCACTAAAATTCATGCAGGTCATATTCCTGATTTCTTGAAAGACAGAGTCAGACAACAGCATTTCCCCAGATTTCCCTCTGCATATCCTAAAGTCTGGATGTCCTACACTTGCATACACCTTGTCAAGGAGCACCTGCGCTGTGGCCATGAGTCACACAGAGGGGAAGCAGTTGAATATTTACACCTGTCACACTCTTGAGTCCAAAATAATAATGGGGACAGTTTTTGGCTGATCCCCAAACTCTGCACCCTTTAGCCTTTAGTTAAACAAGCTGGCGTTTAAATGGAAATTTAAAACAGAAGAAAAAAAGAAAAGAACAATGAACAAATTCAAGTTTAACTAAAGGGGGAATAGAAAGGACATAGGAGAGAAAGCAAACATGATAGCAAGGTTTTTATTTGTAAAAGCCAAGTTCCTTGCCCCTCTTGGAGAAACACATCTGATAAATTCAAAGTCTGAGATAGCTCCAGGCAGCTCTTCTTGGCACACCAAGGGTGGTCCATACACACTTCCCACAGCAATGGGCAGCAGGGGCATTTTGCTAATGTTCTTCCAAACGCTGTTCATGCAGCCCCATTTCTTTTCTTTGCTCCAGGGAAAACAGTTCAAAAGTAGTTGCTTTCCTTTCAAGCATCATCACAAGCAGGCAGCAAGAGGGCTCCTCGTGGAGACCTTGTCACCCTCCTCCTCCTCCCCTGCCCATTCACTTCAGTTTGATCCCTCTCTTCACCAGCAAATAAAAGCTACACTGTTTAAATGCCTGGCGCCCACATCTTTCCCAATGCCTGGATTATTCTTCATGTATTAGTCGACAGGGCTGACCTTTGATATCCTCAGGCTGACTACTCTTTTCACAGTTCTTACAGTAATTTGAACTGTGGATTATGTTGCTCTTATCTCTGATTTGTAAGAGTTTTAACATGTAAGCTTGGTTAAAACAGATTACAGAGGCTCTTACTATGAAGCATATTCAAAGACAAGTTTCTTTTCTGAACCCTGGACTTGAGTGACAACTAATTGCATATTCCTGCTTTGAAAACAAGCAACTTGCAAAATCCTTTTCACCTTGGCTTCTTAGCTGTTTAAACAGTTTAGTAGACAAAGAAAGACATAGATTATCTAAGTAGATAGGATCTATAAACAAATATCTGTAATTATATCTATCTCACCCAAACAACTGGAGTCTCTTAGAGCTGGCACTACTAGGTAAAACATTCAAATTGTCTCTTAATCATCACTGTAATATGCCTTTACATCTAGGAAAAGCTGTTATCATGTGAAGCGATAACACTTGGTCCTTAGTTCACTTTCCTCTGAGTAGAAATAACAGATTATGTCACCTCTACATTCCCTTTATGGGAACTGTACAACCCACTAAGCTTGGAAATCAGTGAACAGTGATAAGGAGAATGTCTGTTGAAATCAAGTAGCAGGGAGACACCAGGCCAGGAGTTATTTTACCTTTTACTTTTTCCTTGAAAGTCAATTTTTCCCCTTGTTTAAGGCTGCCATGGTAGGCTAGTTGAGGTTTCATTCACATTAAACAAAACTAATAGTAATACAGGGTAATAACTTGCACACTCACGAAAATATATTATTGGAAGAATGCTTCAGAACATCAACCAGCATTAAGATTATGACAGCCTTTGTTACATTTGCAGAGATAGTCTCCATTGCACAAATTACAATAAGACCAAGTAAATAAAATTTTCACATCTGGCCTGTTACCAAAACCCTCCATTGCTAATGGAAGTGCTTGGTCAAGAACCGTTACCAAAGCTCCCAGGCCAGAAGTGAAATCCAGATTTCTTTTCCTCTCACCCTGCAGACTGCAATGCTTCACCTTATTCTCCAATCCCAGACCTTCTTAACCAACCAGCCTTCTTAAATTTAGTTTAGGCACAACTCAGTAACATGAGCACTCCGATTCCAGTTCACTAGTATAAGTGCACACACTATTACAGTGAGCAAGACAGGCTGGCACTGCAGTGTCTATTGTTTGCACAGCATGGGCTCCGATTAGTCTAAAAACACAGTAGATTGATTTGAAGGAATTTTTCCCTTGAAATAATTCATTATATAACAAAAGTTTTGAAACACAAACCAGTTTTTAAACCCCACAGTCCTTCCAAGACAACCTGGAAATTTAGCATGTCGTGCAATCACAGGGTTTCTAACCCAGAGCTGTATTTTCCTCACTGGAACTGATAATAAGACCTAATCTCCAGATGCAGCACAAAGTCATTTTTGAGGGGTTTCTGGAAGAAATACTGGGCTTACTCCCGAAATCTTTTAAACAGGATTGGGAAATGTGATCAAGAAACTCAATGAAATCCAGACCATTACAACTTCATTTTTATTCACCCATTCACACATCGGTTTCTCTCTTAGCAAGAGGGACTAAGACTCTTAACTTCTTATAATGAGCATTGATAGCAAAGGCTTTTATTTATATACACACACACACACTTTTGTTTATATACATGCACACATGCAGTACTTGCTGCAAATTTTGGCTCATTTGATCAATGCCATTTGCTTCCAATGGGAAAACATGTAACAGATTTAGAGGGTCAGGCCTATATATATTCTAAAGTGAAAAAGCTTTTTGACATCATATATGTAATTGAGCTGAAAGTCCCTCCCACATCATAACAGGTTGGGCACAATTTAAGCAGCACAGGTACTTGTGCTGAACTTCATCACACAACCACAAAAAGCAATCACAATATTTTTGCAAATCCAAAGCATCTGAAACATTCTTAGGAGGTGAAAAAAAATCCGTGGAACAGATTTCCAATTCAAAACCCAAATGCCAAAATTGTCCATTTCCAGCTGCCGTGGTGATACTTTGCTAATGCTGAAGAGCCTCTTAAGACTGTCTGCCATATCTGGAAAATTTGGAAAGAAATTGTACCAGAAAGAGGTAGAAAATAAAAACCTTATTTTCTAAGACCAGATAAGCTTCCAAGTCAGAGGTGGAAATAAAATGGAAGTTGCAGAGGGGAAAAAAGCAAAGTCACTTGGAGAACAATTCATTTACACAAGTAATGACATTTTAGCACTGGTTACCTGTGGCTCTTTCAAGACCACACTAATATAGTCTGTGGTCAGGTTTAAGGGGTGCCAGATGAAATCAGGGACGTGTTCTTGGTTGCTTTACAATTCTAGGATCAAGTAGCGTGGCCATCCCAAGAAATTGGAGTTCATTCTGCTTTAGAGCCCAGTGAGTATATTCATCATGACAGCAAGATACAACCAGTTAGCTCATCATCTATATTTATAACACAAAGCACAATGATGAGAGCTCTAAGACTGCCAATATCAACTTGGTCTAGAGGTACCAACCCAGTCTAGTCAGCTAAGCCCCCCTATGCAAAGGTTTTTCATAGAATCGTGTCAGCTGGAAAAGACATTTTAGATCATGGAGTCCCTTTGTTGTTATTGGAGTCAATATATTCTCTGCTTCTCCAGCACTTTGCAAGCATGAAGTCCCCGTTGCCAAAATTCATCAGTATTAACTCACTGCATCTGATGGTCAAATGATTTTTTTTGTGCTGTAGTTTGCTTCAAATTTACTAACTCCCTTACTTTTTCAGTACTAACCATGAAGACAGACCCTCCAACCCTGTCAAACAGCACAACTTTGTCCGCAAGTTAGCCAGGTAAGACCTAGATTTGCAAATACTAATCGTGAAGAGAACAGGTTCCTCCTGAACTAATGAATAGAGCTAAATATTTTAAGTGAGCAGCATGTATAATGTTGGTTAAACAATCCTCAAGGCATTCATGGAAGCAATCCTTGCTATTTATTCCCCAAGAGCAACCGTGTCTACTACCTGCCAACATACCTCACCCACCTTTGCATACTGCCACTCTCTGCCAGTGATGACAGCATGACTTTTAGAATAGGGTCTATTATTGTTACTCTGAATTCCAGGCCTCTCTGATATGTGAGCTTATGGAAAGAATAACAAAGGCATCTGGAACTTGGGTATTACTATTACTGTAATGAGTATTTACACTGCCAACAGCACCTGGAAGTGTGACTGAGACCACACAATAATAGGTGCTCCATACACACTGAAGAGATAGTCCTTGCCAAAAAGAGCTTGTTATTTAGTATACTATGAGGTCTTGCTTAAGCCTATTAACGTGCTGCTGATATCTCCAAGTATCACAGCCCTGATCCTCTCTCAAAGCTGGCTTCTGTGAATGCAGAGTCCTCTGAAGGCTAGGCCAGACCTGCTTACAAGACTGCAACAAGCCTGAATTTTCTGCAGCATGTGCAGCTGAGAAACATGTAAAAAAAAAAAAAAAGAAAAAGAAAAAGAGAAAAATCGGGGACAGCTCTTCCTCAGAACAGTGCTGTGCCTGGGGACAGGAGGGACATATACCTTAACCTGTTTCTGCCTCCTACTCTAAGGGAAAGGAAACCTCAAAATTAGAGACCTATCTTTGATGTACTTATCAAGTCTGAAGACTTCTTAAAAGGCTATAGCTGAAACACCATATAGGAGAATCCAAATAGCATATAGAGACCTTCAATATCCTTGACATCAAGCATACTATCAGAGAACATGCAAGACACCGAAGCACAGTTTACCTGAACAAGATGAGGCAGGGAGATTGGTACTATCAGCCAAGTCCCACCAAGAAGCATCACAGAAGTTCACAGTGATCTATCAAGTCAAACCAGGAAGCCAATCCACAGTTCAGGTCCAGTAACTGTCACATAAGTCCATAGTGACAAGGTAGGTCCAAGCTCAAGCTAAGAAAACAGTTCAGGGAGCTGGACCAACCAAGGTCTCTAGCCAAGCAAGTACGTAGATGTAGCAGAGCTCAAACACCATAGCTCAAACCAGGTTCCAAACTCTTGGCCTGGGCTTAAGTAGTCTTCTAGGCCTGGGCAAAAGGTGTGGATGGAGTCCTCAGCTGAGATTGGTCAGGGCCATTAAAGCCCATTAGTGGCCTTGGGATCATGACACCTGTTTAGGAGAATGGATCTCAAAGATTGTAGTTCTGTGTTTATCATAAGCAATATTAGCTGCTAGAAGAAGGTGATTAACATGCTTTGAGAACTTAGGAATTCCCACATTCTTCTACTCTATTGCTGTACAGCCTTCAAAATTCATCCTAGCAAGATGTTTTTATGTATCTGTGACTTGAACAAGAAACAGTGGGCCCTATGAGTCAAACATAAAGCTCAAAGGAATTGACAGAATGCTCCTTTGCAGTGATTTGAGTGGTTTTTGAATCATGTGAGAACAAGAAACAGGAGTCAGTATCTCCAACAGCCTCATACTTACAGGGACAATATAGACACACTGCTGGTGTGTTGACATGGACATCTTGGTGTGTGTGTGTGTTTATACTATAATTCAGATTTCCTTGACATTTTGATTGTGCTCCATTTTCCTTCAATGAAGGATTTTTCTCTGACATTAAGGGATTAAAAAAAGATAAAAAATAGAACCGCCTGGAGAAATGAGCAAAAATGTTTTTACCTCAAAGATGCAGCATAGAATATGGACCCATCTTCAGGATTACAATTTTTATTGTTTATTTTTTATTTTCTTATAAAAAGAATCCCTGAAAATCTTGCATCTGGTGTTTTCTGATCGGCACTGGTAGAAGAATTCTCTACTCCTTTAGTGTGTTTATATTACTGAATTTTTATAGTGATAAAATCCAGGATGATGACACACACTTTACTTGGTATTTTATCAGCCAATGGGCCAAGTCAGAACTCTGTTGCATCTGATTTAGTATAAACAGTGAACACACTTCAAGAGCCTAAAAGCTAGGACAAAACAGATAAAAAAGAAAAGTCTACAGGAGAAGTGAGAAGGAAGCATATTTCCTACAGGTAAATCTGAGGGCAATATCCAACAACCAAAGGACTGACTGCTGAACCGCTGGGACTGTTGGCTGCCTTAGGACCTGTTCCTATTTTGTTGTATTTCTTTTGCTTGCTATTTTGTCTGTATCTATCTTCCCAAGTCTTCCCTTCCATCTCTGATTTTTTGTTATAGACACAGAGATCTATTAGCAAAATGAGACTGAATTCCTCAGAGAAGCTCCAGCCTACCTACCTAATCATAGCAGCTCTCAACCTGCCATGTTTACACCAGAAGCAGCTCCCACTCTTTCTTCAGCAAGAGTTAAGGTGTGGGAGGCAAACTGTGGAGGGCTTAGGTCAGAGAAGGAAAGCGATACTAGAAGCAAAATGAGGACACAGAAAACAGATCTGAACAATCACCAGAAATGTCCCAGGAGACTCTAGCTTTATTCAATGCCTCACATTTCTGCCAGGCTATTTTTATCTCAGCCTTGAATGTGTCCATCTCCGTGTACGCAGCTAGCCTGGTAATTTTTAACTCATGGCTCTAATTGAACTGTTATTGAATGTGATTAACTAGGACTGGAACGAGCCTTTGACAAAGAATATATCAGATTCTTTCTGCTCCCTTTGCTGACTCACTGCTTCCCAATGGCTTCGAAACTCGCAGCTCGGGTGTGTGTGCGCAACCCTTGGCAGCTCCCAGTCGCTTGACTTCACTGGAACCTCTTGCTCTATGGACACGGTGCCAGGGTAGTCAGCAAGCCTGCCCTCCCACCCCAACACATGCCACCAGGTGGGCTAGGGTTTAACTTAGACTTTGCATCTCCAAGAGGACTGTTAGGCACAGTAGGTCGTTGCTTGGAGCCACAGTACTTGGATTAATGGAGCTGGATTAATGCACACATCACAGCAGGAGAACAAAAGTATTTGGATACAAGCCTATCTAGGCTCCTGGATTTCAATGGGGACTTAGATCCTAAGTATAGATTAGGACCTAAAAATTTGTGTAGCAGAAACCTAGTGGCAGAAGGTTTAATATTACTTTCAAATGTGTTAGAATGAGTTATGATAACTCATTATGATAACTCTGGAAATATGTAATTATGTACATACAGAAATACATACACTCAATATGCATTCATCTCAAGTCCAGGACTTATTGTGTATTTTGTGATATACTTGATTACAACAACTACAAATTATATCAAGTTCTCAGTCTAATTGTACCTAGAATGGAAAAGTAGTTCTTTTCGTTGGCTCTGAACTTGCCATTTTTGATTTCCCTGGTGATCTCTTGCTATATTTCCTATTGAACTCAGAGATCACTAGGCAGACGACCTGCTGTCAGTCCTTGGTAATGGGTGTCAAAGAAAGGGTGCAAGATGAAGCCTTGTGCCTCTTCAAAGGACAGACCTCAGACACAGACTGCCTGCCTACATCAAGGGCACGTTCCTGTAACTTTTGATGATTACAAGAGAGCAGATAGTGCTACGATCCATACCTAGAGATGCCTTCTGGAATAAGCACTTCCAAAGCAAAGAGAAGTGGTGAACTAGAGGAGAAATTTTAAATGACTGTTTTGTCAATCAAAATATCGTTTTCATTTAAATGAAGAGTGGTGTAGGAAAGGCAAAAACAGAATGAAGGTTTTCTAAAATGTTGAAATGATGTTTTAAACATTTATTTTGCCAAGTAACCTTTCAAAATGAAATTATTTTAACTATTTTATGGTTGTTTCAAAGGAAGCAACATCTGTTTTCAAAATGAAATTCAAAGCACTCTGAAATTATAAGACTTCTGAATGTTCAATTCTGCTTTGAGACACCTTCAAGTCATAATCAGTCAAAAAATGGATAATTCTCAAACTGCTCTGAGATAAAAGTCACACAAGTTATGAGAAATTAACATATTCTTTAAAAATGGTTTCCAACAGTAACTGACATTCATTTTCCATATGTGAAACTGAGGTTCTCAAGGTTTGCATGAAACTGAGACTCCAAGTAAACTTTGTTAGGGAATGTCTTTCATACTCTTTGAAAGTAGATGGGAGAATTCAGGTCCAGGCTTAGGAAAAACCCAGTGTATTAACTTAACCAAAAGCATGTTCAAGAGAATGCTAATTCACAGAGAATTATGTCAGCTTGGAAAATACAAACAACAACAAAACAAACACACAACCCCCCCCCCAAATCCTTCCTGTTGATTTGTCTAGTGCCAAAGATACTGAAGCCAGATGTGTTTCACCCCGTGCCGAGGTGAAGCACAAAGTGACGGGGAGGGATGCGTAGGGACCAAAAAGAAAAGTTTTGGACAATACAGAACTTAAGTGCTTGTCCTGTTCTCCTTAGCTGGAATGTGCTACTTACACATTGTGAAAAAGAGAGGGATGTAGCCTGGCATCAGTTCAGCTCAGGTATTATTTAAAAAATGAGGCACAACAGACCGAGACCACTGGACCGAAACACAAACAAAAGTGGGTTGATAGCTATTTACACTGGTGTTGGAGTTCTCTTTTTTTTATGATGTCTCAACTTACAAAAAATACACTTGCTTAATTATAATTTACCAATATTTCAATATATTTATCATCATGGTAACGTATTTGGCAGACTTTGGCACCTGAGACTGAACAAAAAGAAATGAGGAAAAAAAATTATAGTACGAAATGCAGTCCTACCCACTCATTTGAGCTAATCAATCCCATCAGTGCCCTGCTCAGCAAACAAAAGCCAGGCAGAATTAGCTGTCCTCCCTGATTTGACTGGGGAATTTAGAGCTAGTAGAGTGTGTCATTTGGGAGACGAGCGCATTGTTATTCCTCCTGCCGGCATGCCAGAAGAACCCTGCTGCAAATATTGGTGTCAAGAAACAAGAATTTAGAAAATTACTAATGTCAAGTAGCAAAGTTAGGAATTAAGATAATGTTTTTTATATTTTATTTTTAAATCAACAAACTTCAGTAGATATTGTGGAGTTACTTCTAGTGTATAAACTGGAGGCAATGTTTGAGTAGTAGCTTTTGAGTTGGGCTTCGGGTCTCTATATACAGAGGATATCTGTATTTTTCTGACTCACAGAAGATTGGAGAGGATAGAGAGGTCAACATGAAGGGAACAGAAAGGGGGAATTCTCAGAACACATATTATACAACTGCAACTGCTTCTTGCCACACCACTTCCAACAACCTAGTAAATGCCCATCCAGCAGTGCAGTCATGTCAGCCAAATGGAGCTTAGGACCCTGTCCAGGACTTGAGACAGATGCTGAGGAACCAGTCATCTCTGTGCCATCAATTCATTCACAAGTCTGAACTTACCTATTTCTTGAAGTGTGTCTGATAAGTATTTTGCAGCACCCTGTAAAGAGATCCAGATCTTTTCTAACATCATGAGATGATACTCCTGTCTAGCATGGCCAAAACCAGTCCTTACTTTCAATGTGTTTGGGTCAGGCAGGGGTAAAATATTTGATTATTACCAGGTACTGAAGTTCTTTTTTCTTCTTCTTCCCAAAAAAAATATTTCTCCGAGCCAAACTCAAAGAATTATATTGTGCACAGTCTTTGAAATGTACACCTAATTTTCAAGGAGGCTGCTCCAAGAAGGGCAGCATACTTGTAGTATGCTTTACTTGCAGTAAAAAAAAAATGATAATGCAACAGTGGAGAACTGGAGCATCACTTTTCTAATGTTTGGTTTTTTTTCTTTGCCAGAAATAATTCAATACTGTGGAGGATTTCTCTGAGAAGTCAGTCTCTGCCCTCCTCTCCCTCCCCTAACATTTAATTCCTCCCACTTAGTTACTTAATCTCATCATGTTTTAAGAAATAGCTCATTTGTGAAGTAAAGTATTATTATCACCTCTTAGATAAAGGATATCATGGACATTATGGTGCTACAAGCCTCCCCATAGGAAAAGAGCAAATTAAGAGGAGCTCAGGTAGGAAACCACGTCTGGAAACCTCCTGGGCTGCAGGAGGTTAGTGAATACTGCAGAATTTGGTCAATTATAACCCACTGTGTTTACCTAAGCAGTTTATCATTCATACATTCATACAT